ACCCTCGGGCGGGAGCGCCGCCGCGCTTCCCAAGCGGCGCACTAATCCAGTGCGCCACCGGCCGGCCCACTTCAACACTATTCTATGAAAACACTTCCCTCAAAAAGGAAACTGATGATATTATGAGACCAAGCTAAGGTCAGCAAGCTATCTCCTCACATTCTTTACACACAGGGAGGTAGATCAACTTGTAGGTTCTAGTCCAAATGCCAGCTAAAGTTCAGATGCCATGCACACCTACATTAATTGCAAGTTAGCTAAGCACCTGGCCTATTAGAGGGATTAAGTTTATACTTTATTTGTGGCTGTTGAAAGGCCTGATCTGACCCCGCTGTTCACAGAGTCCTCAAGACTGAGGAGGAGGCTCCTTTGCAGGGAGCCTCCTGGAGCGGAAGGCAACAGCTAAGGGAAGTTACGGGCAGGGCATCAGGCACCAGCTTCACAGAGGAGCAGAGCTGGCTCATGGCATGCAGCTGGGGCATCCTCGGGAGCAGCAGCTGTGTGCAGGACCCGCTCACCTTCTCATAGGGGATCTGCAGCAGCTCCAGCACCACGGCGTGCGCGCCCATGTTCCGGAGCAGGCGCTGCTGCTGCTTACGGCTCTTCCGCACCGAGGCACTCTCCTGAACACACAGTTTGCTGAGTCGAATCAAAATCTGGTAGAAAGAAATCAACCTCAGAAAACTAGCAGCTACAGTTGGGAAAATACTGCTGGGGGCAGTGGCAGGCAGGGAGGCTAAAGGGATCACAATACATTAAAATCATAAAACATGGGAAATGTCTGCAACACGGGAAATGCATGTAATAACCCTGTTGATTGCATCAAGCTGGATCCACAGAAGACTAAGAACATGTGTTCCAAAATAAGCAGGGGACTATGCTTCAACAGCAAGTGGGACCATGTCAGAAGGTCGCTTAAAACTGGTATGACCCAGCATCATTTCCAAGACTTGGGGAAGAGTTTGCTCTGGGGTAAAAATCACCAAGCTCCCAACCTCCTAACTTTGAACCACCTTGTGCAAAGATTTCTAGAGAACTACAGCTCTCATTGATGGACACGATACAGCGGGCGCCAAGATAAATCCTCAACAACTGTTATCAGTTAATCCTTCATTCAGTTGTAAAGCTCCAGAAATACGTGGTAGCTATAAAAGGCGAGGAAACTGAGGACACACAAGTGACAAGTGGCAGAGCTGAGTTTGAACCCAGATCTGATGCCAAAACCCACCAGCTGAACCTCTGAGCTCTTAACTTTCTCCCTGTTAAATTTTAAGTGACAGAAAAAGCGAAAGTGTTTGTACCTTCAGCTTGACCATCACAACTACAGCTCCTTAGGGAATGAATAAAGAAGGACAAAGGCAGGCGAGGAGGGCCATACCTCTTTCACCACTCTGTAGTTGTAGCTGCTGGTGCTTTCATGCTTTTGCGACTTGTTATTCCCCTCCTAGGGACCAAAATGAACACAACTGAGGTTTGCACAAGTCTCGGGACACTGTCAATTTGCTCTGGTTAGCACCACCCTTACAAAAGAACTCTTCTCCCACAGTCACAATCACACGTACTTTCTCATACATGCTCTAAGGTGGCATGGGACTCAGAGCTAAACTTTGACTTTGTAGCTATTTCCTAGGAGAACAGCTGTTACCCTGGCCACTAAACAAGCAGATCACTCGAGAATAAAGCCCATCCCACAACGTGCATGCACATCTACAGCCAGAACAGGATGCTCCCTGGCGTGGGGAAGCCCAGCCACCCATCAGCATAGCGCGTGCTTTGCCCACCTCCGTTTTCTTGTGCTCATTTTCACCAGATGCACCATCCATGGTCTCATCGGGGCCCTGCCCTTTGTACACCCAAAGCTCTGACTTTTCCACGATGGACCTCAGTTGATCCAAGTCTTGTTTGATCTGTTTGTAGTTGTCCACATCTTGGCTGGTAACCAGCAGTTGAACCTTAATAAACGTAGCCCATTGGTTGCACGCACCAGCTTCTTGGACAGACAACACACACACACACACACACACAAGGCAACCTGAGCTACCTGTTTGAAGGCCTGGAGGACCTCCTGCCTCTGACTGAAGTGCCGAAACAGGAGCTGCAGGGCCCCCGACACCAGGGGTGGGTAGTCATGCATCGTCAGGTGGAGCAGGACACGGAGGAAGGTTCTGCCGCCGTGATCATCCAAGTCCAGAGGGGTGTTCTCCTCACTGAAGGAGTACAGGGAGATAGGGGGGCACAAGTGAACTACAAATGCCCTCCCCTCACACACCTGGGGCCCAGACATGCCTAAACTACTTCACTTTCTAATGCTACATTCCACCTCATGTGACATGACTTTTCATTAGCTCCTTTAATTACACAATCTTGCTTTATTGTCAACTATATCATGAGGGGAGGGGACAATTAAGATGTCATAATTGTCCAATTAAAAAGAAGAAAAGAAATAAGAGATAATTGTCCAGTGTTTTTAAACCATAGTCCCTGATCTCCCAAAGTGACAAGAGTGGCCTTACAACCAAATTCCCGACACCTATATTACGGTGTTCTGCTGGGCTTCATGTGTGGTCCGAGAACTACAAACGGGTGTGTTTATCCTAAATTAGTAGCTTATTTTTTATTTGGGATGCTGAGATTCAGTGCTACAGAAATTATCTGTGGTGAAGGACCAGCTTTTTTTATTTCCAGTTTGTAGCTGATTTTGGCCTCTACCCAGTCCCCTGCTCATGCACTAGGATGTGATGGAGGGTCAAACTGCCATAAATGTGTTCATCTTGTCACAAACTGGTAACAGGCAGTTCAGTCCCGTGGACCCCACTCTGAGAGGTGTTGTCATGAACCAGTATGACTCACTGTTCTTGAAACTGGGATTAATCACCATAGTATCAGGGGTTATAACTTCATTATCTATAATAACTTGACTGGGTGTTATTTACATCACTAAAAAATTAATAAGCTTATCCTGGATCAATTGGCAGACCACCCCATATCCGGGCACTGCTACTCAAATATTGTGTCAGTTCCTGTAATGTGTTTACAACCAAATGTATGACAAATGGGGAGACCTTCATGGTCGCAGGGTAATAAGGAAAGCACAGAGGGGACTTAACATATAAATACTGTACTCATGTATATGCTCCAAAAGGTGGAAAGAAGGTGTCACTGCAGTTCAATAGCAGGAAAATGGTGGGAGAGCAATCAGTACTCAGCTGAACTCGAAACACTCTGTGTAAGTTTCATAAAAACATCACCTTCTATCATAGTAAATAATGTTGCTAATTGAGATTTCACAGGTTTTACGTTAAGCATTGAGGCAGACTCAACACTGGGGGCCGCCAACAAACTGGGCCCTCACAGTATTCACATCCTTACATGGTCCCCTCCCACACAAACACTAGGCTTGGTCATGGATTCCCTTTGACAAATAGGACATTAGCAAACACAATGCAAGCAGAGGCTTAATTAGTGCTTGCACACTGTTGGCACATCCTCTTGGATCACCTGCTCTTGAAGTCAGCCACCATGCTGTAAAGAGAGGGAAAGGTCCCAGCCTTACAGACATTTCTGCCGATGGGCCAGAAAAGTGAGTTAAGGAACTTGAATGTGCCAGCCTGTCACCACCTTACTACATTTGCACAACAAACCCAATAGCAACCAGCAGCAGAACCATCCAACTTAGCCCAGTCAACCCAATAGAACTCTGAGAGGTAATAATAAAATGGTTGTTGCTTTAATCCTTAAGTTTTTTTGAACAGTATACATGCAGTAAAAGATAATTAAACCAACTATGTTAATAATAAGAACTATGCACATAGGGTATTACATTCAACTTTATGCTTATAAGTATGAGTTTCATAATAATAATGTTTTAAGTCATTAATTGAGCAACGTTGTATTTTTTAAAGGGATTCACACATCAATATTAGGAACAGTGAAAGAACGGATTGTTTTCTTTATTGAACAGCCTGTGAGGAGCTCAGGGTAAAACTGCGGCCCTTCAGCAGCAGCCGGACATGATCTTACTATCTTGCTGTGTTTTGAGCCTCTCTCTCTTTCTATTCTTTCCCTTGACCATATTTCCTCACCATTTCAAAATAATCTTGTAATGTACGTATTTTGGGAAACCTTAAATTAACCTTTCCGTCCTAGGCAGGAAACACACACACACACACACACACAATCAAGCCAATTAAGATAACTCTGACTTGAGTACTAAGAGTTCCAAAGACAGCACTAAAACAACCTAAGTCCAAAGATAACTATTTACTAATAAAGTCAAGGAAAAAGCCTTTGAGAGCTATGGAAGAGCAGACTTCCAAATTGTAGAACCACCTACAAAACAGTAACTGAAAATATACTTTCCTTCCTCCAAAGATGCCTTCTGCTTGCTCTTCAATGTGTTCAAAGTCGAGAGCACCTGAAAAGTTAGAGAACATAACTTCAGATACAGGAAGATCTAAAAACATGCTGCTGGTGAACTTACCCAAAAGTTTTGCAGGAGCAAAGCTGTTGGGTTGACCCCATATCTTCCGGAATCATATATTGCAAGCTATGGAGCCAGGCTAATCCACATGACACTCTCCAATGTTCCACATTCCTGCCATTTCTCTCTGACTGTGTGGCTCCTTGGTAAAGGAGAGTGATGCCCTCATTGCAAGGAAGCTTGAGGCTTGGTATGTGGGATTATTTCTACCACTACTCTTTTCCCTACCCTTCACCACTATTTCCTGGGCAAGGAAAACTTCCAACATGAGTAGAAGTTACTAGTGGACGATAACTGTGTATCACTGTACCCTTGCTTTTCCTTAAACCACCATGTCTAACCATATATGAGCAAGAAGAGTGTTGAAACTCAACCTGATTTTAGTTATGGGTTTTTTATAATTAATCACACCCCAACACAAACACACACACACACACACACACACACACAATCAAGCCAATTAAGATAACTCTGACTTGAGTACTAAGAGTTCCAAAGACAGCACTAAAACAACCTAAGTCCAAAGATAACTATTTACTAATAAAGTCAAGGAAAAAGCCTTTGAGAGCTATGGAAGAGCAGACTTCCAAATTGTAGAACCACCTACAAAACAGTAACTGAAAATATACTTTCCTTCCTCCAAAGATGCCTTCTGCTTGCTCTTCAATGTGTTCAAAGTCGAGAGCACCTGAAAAGTTAGAGAACATAACTTCAGATACAGGAAGATCTAAAAACATGCTGCTGGTGAACTTACCCAAAAGTTTTGCAGGAGCAAAGCTGTTGGGTTGACCCCATATCTTCCGGAATCATATATTGCAAGCTATGGAGCCAGGCTAATCCACATGACACTCTCCAATGTTCCACATTCCTGCCATTTCTCTCTGACTGTGTGGCTCCTTGGTAAAGGAGAGTGATGCCCTCATTGCAAGGAAGCTTGAGGCTTGGTATGTGGGATTATTTCTACCACTACTCTTTTCCCTACCCTTCACCACTATTTCCTGGGCAAGGAAAACTTCCAACATGAGTAGAAGTTACTAGTGGACGATAAGGTTGGTTGGAGAGTTTTTTGTTATTATTTTTGGAATTTTTTTTTTTTTTTTTTTTTTTGGTGGGGGCAATTAATAGGTAACCACAACACAAGAAACCTCAGCTGTCTTATGACTAAAACACTCCAAAATGGAAAGAAACTATATCTATCCCAGAAGGAATTTGGGCTTTTCAATTATTCCCCTACCCAAAAAGGACCTTGTTTTAAAATACAATAACCCTCAAAAACATTCATATTTTACTCTGTTTCTAAAAGATACTGTTTAGATCTCTAGTTTTCATTAGACCCAGGTCCCATTCTATGGCTGAAATTCCATTCTGGAATCACTAACCTGGTACATTACTTGGCCCTTCTTGGCTGTTTCCGGAGGATGTTTCCGAAGTCTGGGAATTGCTTTCATCAAACTCCCGTTTAAATATACACAGGAGGCAGGAGATCCTATAATCCAACCTCACATTCAAAATAAACTAAAGATTCAAGTGGAAATGGAAACAGATCAGTTACATTAACATACCACCTTCAACACCTTGCCACGCCACTGCGCTCTGGCAGGGCCTGGTATCAGTTGCATCAATTACCTTAAGCACTAAATGAGCCAAATATTTGGCTGCGATTTCAATAGTCATTTCAACAACAGCAGATTTCCACGGGCATATCCACCCTGCCCACAGCACTTTAGCTTCTAGTGTAAACTTCAGCATCCTGGCAATTAACAACTGGATCACTAAATCTCTCACTCCCGGCTCCACCCTCTACCAAACACTACTTTATTTCAGCAAGTATTGAATACCAACTCTGGGCCTAACACTGAGAACAGTGAAGTTGGCTGCTTTGAATTTAAGAGAACTGACAGAAAATTTTGTTTTTACTACCAAAAATTAGGTTGGTTCATATTTTCTAGTTCTGGTTGTTTCCTCTGATTCAGGCACAAGCCCTCGGGCTCCTACTGCTTTCATGCCTATGTTCCCTCACCCTCCACTCCAGCACAGGGACACTTTTCCCATGATTGTTGCTAGAACCGAAAGGAAAAATCAACCAGCTGGCATTATTTAAGGATCTCACCAACATCTTCCCTTCCATTTTCCCCTTGTCTTTGTGCAGCCCTCTCAGCAACATTACCCACTGCCCCCTGTCACCCGTCTCACGTGAAGACAAGTCTTTGGCCCACCTCCAAGCTCTCAGCCCACATTTCCTACTGACTGCTGGACATCCCAGAGCCTCAAACTTAGGATTGTGCAAAACTAACTGTGATGGTTAATTTTAGGTGTCA